CATCATTACATAATATTAGCACCACCACCACTATAAAAATAACACTTGCTAATTGAACATCATGATATAATTTCCTCAGTAAACATAAATTCCCGACGCACACTAGATGTTATTTTATATGCAACATACGGCATGTCCTTTCAAAATCAGATTCTGACGAAGACCCTATTCATGATAGTAATTGTGTGTATGTGTGTGTGTGTGTGGGGGGGGGGTGGACTCTCAATATGCCTATTACTTATGATTTATTTGCATTTTATAAATACATGTACACGGATTATGCACTCGATCCACTGCCCTCTTTCTTATCGTTTATTATCGCTTTATCCAATGACATGCTTCTTACTTAAGCTAAATGTTGGGAATCAGTTGTGTGATGACTCCAAAATGATGATGCCCCCTTCTCTCTCTCTTTCTTTCTCTCTCTCTCTCTCTCTCTCTCTCTCTCTCTCTCTCTCTCCGAGTCCCCTCCCCCTCTTGTCCTCCCTCCCCCTTCTCTCCTCCCTAGCCCTTTTCTCTCTCTGTTCCCACCGTGGTTCCTACCCCTTCTCGCCATCATAGCTCTCCCTCTCCACTTCTCTCTCACCTTCAACACTTCATCAATCTGGTGTAGTCATCACATGGATCATATTCACGTAATAAATAGGCCTACTGAGGAACATTGGAAGAGTACGAACATGTCACATCATACAACATTACCAGGACATGATAATTTCATATCCATGGTCATCTCTCTCTCTCTCCCCTCCCCCTCTCTATATGAGCCACATCATTCTGTAGCTATAATGTTAATTACTCCAGTTGATCATAGTAGGCCTAGGTCTTAACCTGTCAGATGATGGGGCCGACTGACCAAAACGAAACGAATGGATACCGTATATCCAAGATGACCGTAGTCCGTACTAATGACCTTATTAAACTAGTCTTTGCACGTCACATGTCAAATGCCTCAATGAAATATCATCGTATTGAGAGGTGAAAGTTGGACCAACAGTCACCAATTGTCGAAGATTAGCATACCACTGTGGTCAAAACCATGGATGGCCGAACGCTTTCCTTTAAAGATGAGAGAAAGGAGTGAGGGAAGGAGAGAAATAGGCTGAAGGAGGGAGGGAGGGAGGGAGAGAAAGTTAGAGAGAGAGAGAGAGAGAGAGATATAGAGAAAGAGAGTTAGATAGAGAGAGAGAGATAGAGAAAGAGAGATAGATAGATAGATAGAGAGAGAGAGAGAGATAGAGAGAGATAGATAGAGAGAGAGAGAGAGAGAGAGATAGAGATAGAGAAAGAGAGTTAGATAGAGAGAGAGAGATAGAGAAAGAGAGATAGATAGATAGATAGAGAGAGAGAGAGAGAGATAGAGAGAGAGATAGATAGAGAGAGAGAGATAGATAGAGAGAGAGATAGATAGATAGAGAGATAGATAGAGAGAGAGAGAGAGAGAGAGATAGATAGAGAGAGAGAGAGATAGATAGAGAGAGAGAGATAGAGAGATAGATAGATAGAGAGAGAGAGAGAGAGAGAGATGGAGATATATGGGGATACTTGGCTTTCCCTCTTTCATATTTCATAGAAACAAAGCTTGGTATATATAAATGTACATGAACAGTAAGAGTGAGATCACTGTTGTCAAGATGTATGGATTAGTCTGGCTCCATATTTGGTAATGATCAAACAAAAACTTGTTTTCAATTGATGTTAACATGATTTACTAAAAATATCAATTGTTCAGGGTTACTATGGATAAAACAATGAGATACTGCCATCTGGGCCCCCCGTTTCATATAACTTATAATCAATAACAACTGCCACAGATCTATGATAAATCTGCTCTCGGCCAATCAATTGCCATGATTTCAGTAGCTTATAACACTTATTGTAACTTATTATTGATAACAAGTTTTATGAACAGTGCCCTGGTGTAGGAGATAGCTGATGCAGTGATTACACACTGTTTACCTTGCTACTGACAGCCACTTGGTACGCTGTAGGCCACACTAAATCAATCAAGTATAAACCATTTATACTTTTTTTAATATCTACATATATTTTATTCACATAATATTCATAATATTCTGAATGAGAAAACAAAAAAAGTAATGTTAAAATTAAAGAACTAGCATCATAAATCTGCTATTTGGTAATAACACAATACATATCATATAATCATATCTAAAACTCTGACATTAGAAATATGGAAGGGTTGATCCACTCCCATTATCGCCTCTATTCACAATTAAACATAACTATTCTTTAAAAAAAAATCAACAAATCTATTTGATCAATATAAATAACATTTATACCAACTACTATCAAGTCTTAAAAAAAAAACTAGCATATTTCTCATAATGAACATAGATTTACAATAAGTGATGAAGGTAAACCACTCCTCCCCATTAGTAATGTCTTTTGTGTTGATTTTGTTAACATGTATGAACGAAATGCTTGTACCTTTCATCTTGAAACTTTATCCATATATGACTCATTTTCTGATTAAGGAAAAATTAACAGTCTATGTCCAGCAATCAAGTTTTGAAGAGATTTGGTAGGATTTCTGAATCTGTGAATACATAATATGCCCAGGCACTAATCCAGGAAAACTAAATTTTGGAAGGAAAAAAAATGTCCTCAAAATTTGATTGTGAGAGGGTAAATTCAAATTCATTGTTGCTTAAATAAAATAAAGCCACTTTTCATATTATTAATTTTCAAAATTATTATTGAATTTCATACCATGAAAAGTTGAGTTACCCCAGTATTTAAATCTTTCATGAATAACTTGTCAAAATTGGGCGATTTCTAGTCCGACCAATGTGGTACAATGTGAGGTTCGGCTCAGACTCAGAATAATAAGATAAACATACAAAATATAAATATGTCCAAAGCACAGATATTTTGGAGGTTGGCATAACACGGACAGCTTGTACTTGTGAGGAGATGGTAAAGGCTTTCGAGAAATCAACTCAAGGGGTGATTTCAATACCCTATTGTATGAAATCATGTTCAGATGATGTAATATGTCATGTAATCTTCAAACATTGCAAAAAGTGATGTACAAGGAAATAGAGATCGCTATAAGTTGAATTTTTTAAAGTAGTTGCGACCGTCTTTTGATGGATATCTGCCACAATATTAATTCCATACATTGCTAAAACACACCAATGTTGTGATGGTTATGAATGTAACAATTAAAATCAACAGCTATGTAGCATCTAAACAGTTACCCTTCGTTACTTACATCAATCAGAATTTCTCTTTAAATGCTAAAAAGTAAGTTGTACAATGACAGAAGATAAATAATGCAAAATTATTGTAGTAAATACATGGAATACATCAATCAAGTTTTAAATTCATGAAATGTAATATACATCTGTAGCAATATGATAACAATGTAATATTATAACTCAAAATTCATACACTTTTCAATTAGAATAGGCCTGCCAATTAAAGTAACAGTTGCTCTTTCAAAATCTAAAGCATAATCTTATATTACCATAGGATTTCATTTCAAGTTGTACTTCATCACAAAACATGTAAAGATCACTTCAATAGGATGAAAATGTAATAATAACAGTATTGATAACAAAGATTGGATCAGACTAAATCACAATTTTCATATCGTAGTTTCTCAATAACTATCTCTTTATTTTCTTACAAATAAACCTTGGACCGTGACTCCCATAAGTTTATTTCTGATTTCAAACCACAGACTCAAACATACAATATAACTGCGTCTTTTATATTTAACAGGAAACCTAATGATCTTCGGACATTTGTGTAATATTGTTTCTATAAAATGACATCAGATAATGATTGTACTGTAACGTTAAAACAAAGGGGATAATGATGCACAATATTTGAAATAGAAAACGAAGGCAAGGAAACAAGATAAGAGAAAGAGGAGGAAAAAACCAGTCGAGATAATCTAGAAAATATGTAAAAAGGGTGATCTGACATTTGCCTTGCACTATAAGGTACCAAAGTGTGATGTCATACTGGCCAAGTTGTCAAAGTTGCTGGTTCCAAACAAAGTGTGCTATACAATGGTGTGGTGATCACACCAGACCCAAACACTAAATTTGCCTTGCTCCAGCCCGCTGCTTGAATGATATCGCGGTGAACCTCTTCGCAGGTTCTGTTACTTAGAACCAATAACCTGGACGACAAGCAAAAATGACATTAGTACTTTGATAGGTACTCTATGGTATCAAGGTTGCTACTGGGTTTTAGGTTAGGTTTCGGTTCAGGGTTAAGGGGTAGGATGAGGTATGGACTGCAACTTGTTGAGACTTTGACTAGAGTAGTGAAGAGCAATGCATTTTCACTAGAGCATGAGTCATTTAAAGATAAAAATATAGGAGAAATTGTACTTCACAGAAGCACAAAATATGAAAAGAAATGAGATTAGGAATGGAAAGTAAATGTCACGACGAGATCAAGCATTACTGTACATGAACACAATGAGGTAGATGTATATTACTCAATTTAAAAAAAATGCCCAGAAGGAAAAAAAGAGACGATCAAGAAGGAAAAAAAAGAGACGATCAAGAAGGGAAAAAGAGAGAAAAGATAGAGATAGTAGAGATGGTGAGAATTATGAGAACATCAACAACAACAAGACAACAATGGTTAATGATAAAACGAGGAGAATAGGATAAAACTGAAAAATACTTATGATTAAGAAAGACAAATAAGAAAAGAAAAAAAAACAGATAGAAAAGAAGAATTAAAGAGAAAGTCCACCCTGATATTAAATTGGTTTTAATAAAAGCAGAACAACAAGAGAAACTCAAAGTTTGAGCAATATCCGATTGAAAAGATATATGAATTTTTCATGTTGTCATCCGTGAAAAACCAATTGGCAACACTCTGACGTATCATGCGAGTTCTTCTCCAATTTGCTCCTTACAGAAAAGTTCATAAAAGTTCATTTTCTTAGTTATTGATGATGGAATAGATTTGTTTCATACAGGGGTTGTATTAACATTTTCAACTTTTAATCGTTTTTTGCTCAAACTTTCACTGACCTGTTCCTCTCATGTTTCTGCTTATATTAAAACCAACTTAATATCAGGGTGGAGTTCCCTTTACAATGATAAAAGGCAGGAAATGAAATAAACAAAATGAAGGACACGCTTTATACTCTATCAAAACTGCCTTTGCCATCACACAAGTTGAAGAATGTGAATGCGACAAGTCTGACCGTAAATCTTTGCTAAATTGGCAATCACAGCTCGCCGGAATACCATCATGTGCACCAAGCTAATTCAGGACATTAACACTGTTTCCAAAGCATGCTGGTCCAATAAACAAAAGCAGTGACGGAAATAACTAACCACCTCGTCAGAAATAGTATAGCACGATTAAATGATTGCTCATATAAAGAATTGCTGCACCGGCGTGTAAGTATTTTGCAGACTAGTGCAAACAAGATAAACAAGCTCTATATCAAGTTATACCTACATGACTACATGTAGAAACAAACATATATCAAGTACCGGTAGACATTTGAGATGACATTAGCGATTTGAAATTCCCCATAACTTGCATATTCTGCCCTTAACACGATAGCAAATACTTCCGATTAACCTAAGGTAACTATTGAAATGTACGAACATGACAATGACGTATGTAATCCTAATATGATTTCTATGGGACATACAAGGGTATTGAAATGATGTTTTGAAAGATGTACTAGTTGCGATCACTTTTCTAATGAATTTACAAGAATTGTCAATAACATATTAAAAGGATCGAACAGGAGGAAAAAACAACAACTCAACTGTCTCATGGATGCATTATTACATACCAATTACAAGTATATATATAAGTTATAATATCTGTAAAGCGCTTAGACACAGTATTCCATATCAAGCGCGATATAAATCCAGATTATTATTATTATTATTATTATATTCTTGAAAAATGATTTGATAGAGAGCATCTGAAACACAACTTACAATTACTCACTTGAATTCATGGCTTAGGCAACCCCCAAAATAGTTTCTACAAATGTTATATGTGATTTATTACTCATATAAATATGCAGATTTATTACTCATATAAAGATTGATCACTAAGATAATCATGACTTTACCACAATGTATTCTGTTAAGCAGACAACATATATTTTGTTGAGCTGGATTACAGGGAATAATGTACACTTTCTGAAATGATAACCATCTCCATTCATAAGTAATGCAAGTATCTGTTTGTGGGACAGGAGTTTCTACCGTCCTCCTTAAAATGCGATGCAATGACACCCCTCAAAATAACTTCTTGGAACTATTCTCCAGATATCCTGCAGAGCTTTGGTATTAAAGGAGACAGTTATACAAGTAGTATACACTGAAAGTATACATCAATGTACGGTATAAACATGCATTGACAAAGGGGGTTACCTAGTTTTGTTGAAAAACCTTCTTTATGAATTCTGTCCGCAATGTTTACCTTATGTGCACTATCTCCTTCCCCTTTGAGGCTGATATGAAAGCATCATAATCCTGTGCAGAGCACACTTTAGGACAGGTTTGTTTTTTTTGCTCTGGGAGGGAAGGGGTGGGGCTCAATTTATCCTCTTCCATATGCCATTTAAGTCTCATTCTGGCACAATATTGCAGATACACAGATACCTAGATATGCATGTTTAAAGCATACCCTGGACTTGGTTACACTGCACAATGACAGAACATAAGCATCCTTAGAATATGACAATTTCATTCTTATATAGCAGTCACCTCTGTATAAAGGTTGCCTATTTGCAGCCAACCGGTGGCCACACAAGTGACACAACTCCCACCTCCTTGGAGGTGTCGCACTCTGCGAGAATCAAGCTCCCCAAAAAGTTCAGATCATTTTCAAGTCAATATTATGTCACCAAATCTTCTGGTGGTAGTGATAAATACATGTAGCATAAATAAACTACAAAGTGGCTGTGACAAACCTTCATGGAAAGTTCACCCGCATATAAAAACCACTATTATTTTTCACCCTTGGGTGACCTTTAACAGCAATATACATTGTACATATATAAATATATAGATATCATTAACCCTGTAAACGATCATCGGATCGGCCGCCGATACCGATCCGATCAGGGGTGATCGGCGAAAAATTTCCGATCGCCGATCAATTAAAATGATCGGAAAAAAATCGGCAATTTTTTTTTTTTTTTTTTTTTTTTTTTTATGACGAAAATTTTCAAGTTTTTGGCTGTCAAATGCTCAAAAAAAGTTCATGGCTGGGATTATTTTGTCATTTGGAGTTGTTGTAGACAATGATTGTTGATATTTAGTGCCTTTTCATGACTTTGAAATTAATAATATTGGTCTAAGAGCAGAGGCAAAACATGCGGGCCGCCATCTTGGATTATAATGTAGGTTTTTTGTTTTTTTTTAATGACAAAAATTTTCAAGTTTTTGGCTATCAAATGCTCAAAAAAAGTTCATGGCTGGGATTATTTTGTCATTTGGAGTTGTTGTAGACCATGTTTGTTGATATTTAGTGCCTTTTCATGACTTTGAAATTAATAATGGATTATAATGCATAGAGGTCTACCTACATTATAATTCAAGATGGCGGCCTGCATGTTTTGCCTCTGCTCTTAGATCTAAACCAATATTATTAATTTCAAAGTCATGAAAAGGCACTAAATATCAACAAACATGGTCTACAACAGCTCCAAATGACAAAATAATCCCAGCCATGAACTTTTTTTGAGCATTTGATAGCCAAAAACTTAAAAGTTTTCGTCATTAAAAAAAAAAAAAAAACCTACATTATAATCCAAGATGGCGGCCCGCATGTTTTGCCTCTGCTCTTAGACCAATATTTTTAATTTCAAAGTCATGAAAAGGCACAAAATATCAACAAACATGGTCTACAACAACTCCAAATGACAAAATAATCCCAGCCATGAACTTTTTTTGAGCATTTGATAGCCAAAAACTTGAAAAATTTCGTCATAAAAAAAAAAAAAAAAAAAAAAAAAAAAAAAAAAAAAAAAAAAAAAAAAAAATCGGCCGATTTTTTTTGTCGCTCTTCCGATCCGATACCGATCAAAGGTGCGAGGGTGTCGCTCCGATCTTCCGATCCGATCAGAGCCCCAACTTACAGGGTTAGATATCATACATCTTTTCTTCTGGTTATTCCCTCATAGAAAAATTGGGTGTATCTGCCTCATGGTGAGTTTCTTACGACAGGTCGGGCATCGGTGCTGTGTTTGGATGCTCGCACGGATGCAGTGACGACAGAACACGTGACCGCAGTTGGTTGACATCAGCTGCTGACCGTTGTTCCGTAACTGAAAAGAATAACAAAAGAGATGATTGATAAATCATTACTGAAAAATCAATATTTTTAGGGGAAATTTATGGTGTGTTTCCATGACTGTTATAATATGATTATAATTTTGTTAATACTGGGGAGCCTCATCAGTATAAAAGCTGTTTTTCCTGAGGGCCCTTAAGTTATTATCACCTGAGCAAATGCAGCGTAGCCATTTACAACTGAGTGGAGAGTGGCATAAGTGGATTAATGTCTTGCCAAAGGACATTAGTGACAGGCTGGAATTCAAACCCTCATCCCTGAAACTATATCTCCCCCAAATCAATGGTATCTCCTGTAATCATTCAAATCTCCTACAAATAATTAAACAGGATCTTACTGTTTAACATACCCTGTTTATTCACAAGCAATAGCTTAATATTATTTTACTTTCACAGAAACATACAATTCATGGTAAGAGAACACCAAATGTAGGAAGAGGGAGGGAAGATACTATAGACTTTAGAAATTGATGGTACATCAATTTCTATATTCCAAGATTATCTTAATTTATATCCTCTCCTCCAGATCCTCGACAACATACAGAAATATAAACACTCATCTTACATTTAAGTTCTAGTTTATTAAAAAGTTTATATAGTTATCAATATCTTGTTACTTACTCTAAAAACGTAAATTTTTTATTATTTCTCATTTTAAGGCCACCTCCGACAGTACCCATCTTATGGCAAGCACTTGTAGACAGATATGAATGTGACCCATTGCCTAAATATATGTCAAGCTGCTTGATTGAACGTAACAAAGTTACTCAATCATCACTTCTCAAAATCAATGCAATGCATGTTGGAGTTCATTGGTCTGTCATCTTATTATCTTATTATCCCTTAGTTCTTCAATATAGCTCCTGGAGAGCTCAAAATGGCTTTCAACATAAGGAGCACTTCGCAGGTATTCTTCCAACTGTGTTCACAAGCTATGCACAGGTGAACACAGGAGGTGTAATAAGTAAATGTAAAGAGTGACAGAACATGAGGGTGTCGTAACAGAGTTATCAGTCTATCACATCTCACAGGTCATGGGGTCATCGTATGCCATGGCCTGAGGCATCGTTTAATAATGTTTCCAGTTTTACAAATCTGAGACGCATGGCCCTACCTGTCATCAGTGTCTGTGATATGGTATAATATTTGATCCCTAAAAAAAATTCAAAATGATCAGTGACCGGTTTTACCATACTCATTTTCCCCAATAGACTGTATTATCATAAAACCATTGGGAAAACGGTTTTTGAAATTTCGATTTTCCAATCATCAATATCTTGATAATCAGACAGAAGATCGGCTTGTAAAAGTCATGGGATTCCTGACTGATCTAAAGGTCTATGATTATGATTATGAGCTCAATCCAGGATTTTGTTTAGAATCTGAGGCAAAGATACCCAATCCCTAGTTTAAAGCCAAGCTTAATTTCTCCCATGAATTCTCATTTGAAGACAAACTGTCTATAATTATTTGATATCCAATGAAAAACGACACATATAAAACTACTGCAAGAAAATCGAGCTTATTGGATAAATGGAAACACCAAACTGGGGGAAAAATTGTGAAATTACACAGATACCTAAAATTAAATACAACTAGAAATTTAATTCGTCACGAAGACGAATAAGGTGGTCTGTCTTCAAGTCTTATAATAGATTATAATATTTACTATATTGAAAAAGGGAGAAGTTATATAGACATGTAAACAATGATGATGATGATCTTGATAGTAATGATTATGATGATGATGATCATGATGATGTTGATGAGGATGATTATCATCATTATGATAATGATGATGATCATGATCATGAGCGTGATTCTGACATCTTATCGGAAAAATGAGGAGTGATTTAGATAACATATAGTCTCAGCGACAACATACTAAAATTTAGGAGAAAAATGTTGAATAACAACCGAGATACTGGTCAAAACACATTGTCATGCAGATTCATGTTTTGAAATAAGTGACCTCCCATAGACATAACACGCAAATATGACAAATTATGCATTGCCGCCTTTAATCGAATATTTTACTATAATGACGTCATCTTAATGATAATATATGACAAATTTCTGATAGAGAATTATCTCAGCTACAACATATCAAAATCTGGGAGAAGATCGATCACCGATAAGTGAGATAATCTCAAATAAACAAAGACAAAAATGACGTCATCAACAAAATACATTTGTTTGAGTTTAGATGCCAATATGATGACTTTATTTCACTTTGTACGAGTCAGGATGGTATGAAATCATATCTCCAACTCATGCTTTCTCCAACCATGATATAAAAATTGGGGGTCAATGGACTATCTGAAGAGCTATTTCGATTTTTAAAATGGCATGTTTTTGATCAAATTTGCATTATATTGCCCATAGCAGTACGCGCGGATTTTGAACTTTGACGCACGCTCACGGCCTTATGAAATATGAAGAGTGACTGAAATTAATGTAAATTGTCAATTACGTTATGAGGAATCCAAATCATGTAAACATTTTGAATTTGACCTTTTTCGCGCGCTGTGAGCGCGCACACCGCGCGCGGGGACACTTACGGACGGAAAATTTTGAAATGCTTAAAATGACCTGATTCGTACTCTCGTTTAATAGTTTAGTGATTTTGAGCAATTTTACATTTTGACGCGCACATACGCGCGCGTCATGACCTTTATGTGACCTTTGATGACATGACCTGTTGACCCTTAACCTAAAGTATATGTGACATGAATATGAATGACCTTTGCTGATGCATCATGAAGATATGATGGATAACGTGATTTCACAAAATGGCGCCTGGATGACGTCACGATCACCTAATGACCTTAAAAATGTTCCTGTCACGTCTCATGATAATGGCCTATGACTGTGCCAAAATTGAATCAAATTGACTAAACCAAACTTGAGTTATCCTAGGAACAAAAAACGGGAAGAAATAAAAATAAATAATAATAATAATAATAATAATAAATAAAGAAAATTCTGACGAAATCAATAGGTGGTCTGTCGTTGACAGACCACCTAATAAAAAAAACAAGCAACAAAAAAGAAGGAAGATAAAATGTTGCTTATTCTTGTTAGCTCTTGTTATTGAATCAACATAGAGGTACATGTACACCCCATATAGTATGCCTAGAAAACATCTCCATGTAAATTATAACAGAGATTGCTGGGATTTCTCCTTTGACATCTCTGACCTGCTTTCAGGATGACCCACGCCCCACTGACCACTAAATTGGCAACTCCACACCTTCTGACCAGGTGTGTGCGATGACAGGGTCAATCTGACCTGTTATTTGATACCAGGCTTTTGATTTGTATAAATCGAGTGAAGAACTACCTCTCAGATATAACACATGGTGTTGATGCTACCTACGGTCTGTTTTATTCAATTTGTGGCAGGACAGACTGAGCATGGTAATTGATTGATATAACTTTCAATTTACTCTACCTGCTTTGAGGTCAAATGTTGTAGGTCATGAACTCTGACCTTCTTTTATAGGATTACCCACACATAAATCTGTACTTGAAACCTGCCTTTTCCATCTTACTCAATTTCTTTTTAATTTTAATTACCATAACTAATGTATTTGTTATTGCAGTAGTATAGTATTAATGACTGCTTTGAGAGAAATAGTTGTTTTTATACGCTCAAGGGAAGGTTAGAATTGTGCTATTACCCGAGGCGTGCCGAGGGGAATAGCCCAATTGTAACCTTCCCGAGAGCGTATAAAAACAACTATTTCTCGAATATTAAAGCAGTCATTAATACTTTTATATGCCGAAAAAAAATAGACTAAAAAATAAAAAATAAAAAATACTTTTTTTTTTGGTCGAAGATGAGATTCGAACTCTTGCGTACAAAAGGTAATGTATCTAGAGTCAGCGCCTCAGACCTCTCCGCCATCGCGCGCTATTAACATGCTTGGCAGTTTTGTACGATATATACATTAAAATGGATTGAAACCGGCTTCGCGTGTGATGAATGCTTCGCAAAAGCTCCATATACGGACTCTTCTTTTACTTTTGCAATGCATATTGGCACGAACTTAGATCAAGATCTATCGGCAGATGTTGTTTTTTTGTTTTTGGTAGTTTATTTTCGTCTTCATGTCAACAATGCAAGATAAAATTGTCGGTAAGATCGATCGAGATTCAATTGTATTGAAATTACCGACCAATTATTCGCACACATACGGTATCCTCCATCGCTCAAACCATTTTTTAACATGTAAACCTATGGGGTAACCATGGAGACTGACCTATTTTTTTAATAACCATGGTTATTAAAAATATTAAATGTTTTAAGCATGGTTACCGGGAATTTTACAGGAACAGTTGAAGTTTATGAATGCAATTTCGACCAATCAGATGGCTGGATTACTTAAGTGAGGTATATAATAAGTAATATGTATCATACCACTATGTTTCGACCTCTGCTAGTATAATCTTGAGATAAATAGCATATAACATGTACATGCATTATGTTTCACATTTTCACATGTACAGCACAAATAGAAAATTTATATAAATCACCAGCCTATTATAGCATAATTATTAAACGGGCCACAGTCACAGTGGTATTTTCTATTTCCTAAGAGGTCCTCAATCAAATCAATACTTCATACAAGCTAGGTGAAGAAAGTCTGGAAGGAAAGTGAGAAAGCGAAAGAGAGATACGGTAGGCTTGTGGTTGCACCATGTGAGAGAAATGGAGAAAGAGAGAGAAAGAGAGAGAGAGAGAGAGAGAGAGAGAGAGCAAGAGCACATTTAAATTAGCACAAGTTTGCTCAAGTTTTTTCTGTACTGTATGTAAAGTACTATGGAAGCTATGGTTCATCTATAAGCCACACATAGAGGACAATGTTTTCTTACAAAAGGTTTGTGGTGTATAAATGAAGAATAGATGTGCCTGTTGTATAGATCATGATGTACCTATGATGTAGAAACCAGATACTGCTCTCCCCCTCTA